CTGTGTGTTCTATGTCTGTTAGACGCGCAAAATCGAACCCGTTCAAGCCAGAAATAGTATTGAAATATTCACCAGAATACAAGATAAACGGAAATGTTAGGAAACTCCTTTCAGTGAAATTAGTTCTAATGTTTCTTTCCCAACTATATACGTTAACAGAGCGTTTTTTCTATCGAGTTTTAGTGTATCACGTGCGCCATTTCACTACAGTAACATTACATTGCAAAACATAGTCCGCGATAAAATGGTTCGTATTTACGTTTTTACTGAAGTCTGACATTAATAAATAGTTCGGATGTCACATACGTTTTTTTTCCCACTTTTTGTAGTTCGGTTTCAAATGAAACAACCGCGGGAAAATGGCCGTGCGTAGTGAGGTGATTGACCACAAAATTGAAGGCTGCCTGTGGCAGAGGCACTATTGCGTAAAGCGCAATGGCCTCTGGGAAGGAGATTGGTAACACCTTAGTAATCATTATCAGCAGAGGTACATTACTTGGGGTTTGCAACTACGGTGACATGATACCAAGATCCCGTTTCAATCTCGCTCTCACATAAGTGTTCCAACTCAGAAAAATTCGAATGCGCATGCCCGAGGTAACTAGGATACTGGGATGTCTAGGTGGATCAAAATAGCTGCTCACGTTATGACGGATTACGATAACTATATTTTCTGTACATTTTCGATGTATTACATGTACATTTTTTCACTATGAATGTGGTAATACATGTTTTATTGTTTTATTACAAACCGCCTATGTCATGTCAGAAGGTCGTAGCACCAGTCTCGCTATCTACGAGATGAGACTTGAATGGGATCTTGACATGATGTCACCATACAGTACTATGCGCGTTGCAAACCCCAAGTAATGTACCTCTGTTATCAGCTATCAATAAAATATTTCAAAACTTCTATTTCAGTAGGAATAAATCAACACGAGAGCCCTTTAATAACAAAAATACGCAAATAATACGCGTAGTAAAAATGGCGGTGTGTAGTTGCAGAGATACTTTCGGTGAAATAACAGCAAGGAACTCTAGGAAGGAGAATGTGCAAAATGGTCACCAGCCGCGTTGTGCCATCGTCACGGGAAGCGCTGTCCCAGATAGAAGACGCCGAACTGCAGCGTCAATGCACCAGCCGACCTATTGGGGAAGTCGTCACCTGCGCATGCGTCAGATGGTCATAGCGTGTCATCGTTTACAAACAAACGTCTACAAACGTGAATAAGTACTGAGAAATAATTTTTAAACTCAAAGTTGCTGTCGACATAGGAAGTAAAGTAAGCAAA